AGAAAATGAACAGCAATGATTTTTTAATCTTTGATCGTTCGATCGTAACGGAGAGAATCGAGTTAAAGAAGAGTTGTTACGATACGATAATATAATATATCCTCTCCCTCCGAAAAGTTAGCTTTCCCCTACAGGCGATAATCCTCGCCAAGGATAATCCTCGACTTTCCTTTCCTCGAGTCGAAAATCTCTGAAACGTAATCAGTTTCCAACGTTCCTTTTTCGACCTCCCTCTCGCTTTTATCTTCTCCGGATAAAACGAGAAGGGGGAGGGGAAAGGCGATGGGGTGTGGCTTGCATGCCATCCTATCACTTTCCGAAACAATTTTCCTCTTATTCTTCTCCTTTCAAACGTAAATATTGCCTTTTTTGTTCCAATTTTTTCTTTCTCTTTTTTTTTTTCACTTGTAGAAATTAATATATAAACCAACCCCTTTGATAATCTCGAAAACCTTTTGCATTCGAGAGGCGACAATCCTTTATTTACGCTTAGATCTCTCTATCTTCTTTATCACCTAAGTGAGACGTGATCTTAAAATCATCTTGAATTGCTACTAGAGGAAGAGTTGAGGGATAGATTTTCAAACAATAATAATGAATAACAAGAGAGGAGGGTGAATCAGAGGGGGATCGAAACAGATTCGTTGATTCGTTATTTTTTGGGGCAGCCTGTAGAACCGGTGGGAGAGTAGTATTCGGTAGCCGGGCGTTAGTAAGCGGTATGTATCGTATGTGGCGTAAAGTGGGGAGGAGGGTCGGTGGGCAATGGATCGTCGACCCTCGCGCTCGCCAGTTAACGTTCGTCCGGTAACTCGTGAAAACATTCCTTCGCATCGAAGAAAAGTTTTGTTTTTAAAATGTCGTGTGACGGTGCCAGTTTTCGACCTTCTCCTGTCCGTGTCCAGCCCAGTTCTCCAAATAAACCATATATCCACAGTTATAAGTGAATTTTTTGTGTTTGCGGTTTCTTATCTCTCGGCGAAATGATCCTCGCGGTACGAAAAGGGGGGAGAAGTATACTTTTTTCAACGAAGAACGGTCTCTCGTGTTTTTATAAGATATCCATTATTACACGTTAACCAATCGAACGTCTCCTCGCTGTTTTTCTTCTTCTTCTTTCGAAAAATTATTACCAACCGTGGCCCATGTCGTCGAGTTTTAAAACGCGAAATTATATATAAATTATACGCGTAAAATTTCGAAACGATAGCAGTGTATATGTATTTCGAACGATGTATCGAGGAGTATTCGAAACACGTATCGAGCACTAGGAGTGTCTGAAACAAACAGGCAACCCCTATAGGTTAAATCGCGCTAGTCGTCGAGGGTGGTAACAAGGGTGGTTCTGCTCGAGGGCTATCCCTTAATTATCCCGTGCAATGACGCATTCGATGTTACACATACACAGGTATCTCATTCTTATCGATCCTTTGAAAATTCGCGTGGACACGTGTACGGGACGGATAGTAGTACGAATAGTAGTTCGGAACCGTCGTCTTTTTTTCCAATCGATGGAACGATCGAATTATATCGCGCGATTAATTCGCGATAATCGTTCCGTTTGATTATCGTTGCGGATAATGATTCAAATATAAATAGACGTAGCGAAAAGTGAAAATATCGCGAATTATCCGTGTCGATAGATCGACAGTGGGCGAGGAATTTATAAATAAATGGTAAGTTTATTTGTATCGAAAGAGAAATTAGAAAAATTTATCGGAAAAATGTTATAAATAAATCACTCATTGACCGCGTTCGAATAATTTAAAAAAAGGAAGAGAATTTCTGAAAACTGAAGGGGAGGAAAAATTTATCGAAAAAAATGTTCTCGTTATAAACATTTCTATAATTTTCGAATCGCATCCGAACTCTCGATATATTTAAAAAAAAGGACACGATGGGGATTTCTGAAAACCGAGAGGGAGAAAGAATTGGAAAAATTTATCAAAAACAATGTTTTCGTTTTATTCGAATCGCATCCGAACTTTCGGTACAATAACATTTAAAAAAAATACACGATGGAGATTTCTGAAAACCGAGGGGTAGAAAAAATAGGAAAAATTTATCGAAAAAGAAAAATATTTTCGTTATAAACATTTCTATAATTTTCTTTTTATTCGAATCGCATCCGAATTCTCGATACGATTTTAACATTCACTGCGTTAAAAGAAGGAGGATTTATTGAAATTTATTTATGAAAATAAACGGAAACTGAGGGGGGAGGGAAGGAAAAAGTCCAAAGAAAAAAGAGAAACACTCGTTTAACTCGTACTATTAATGATAGAAACCTTCGTTCGAATTTTTGATATAAAGAGCTGCCCGAAATATTTATCCTTCTTATCGTTTTTCCTTTCTACCGTGATGCAAGCTTGAAAAATTGGCTTCGACTCGCGCCTCGATCTCGGCGCGCTTTCAGCGAGAGAAAAAGTGGCGATTCGACCCACGGGGAATCTTTTGTCATGCCCTTCTCGGACTGTGTTTACGATCTGGGTAATAAAAAAAAAACCTGAGGTAGCGTTTCCATCCTCCTCCCTCTCCAAGTGAGTCACTTGGTATACAATAGTGTAACGTTGCGTGAACAAAGAGAGAGAGAGAGAGAGGAGAGTGGATTGGAAAGAACTAGAAAACGAGATCGATGAATCTCTTTATTACCTTCGTTGATTTAGATGATTCCTGAATTTCAAAGATAGTATCGAAACTCGACAATTGGTCTAATTGATCGTAAAATTTGGTTTCGCAGAAAAAAGATTTTCCATCCAAGATTCAATTTTAAAACGAAATAGGAAAGCTTTTCCTAATTTCGATTAGAAAATTATAGAGAATTGTAGAGAAATATTCGAGTTATAAATTGGTCGGAGTGAAATGGATGAAAGTCGTGAGAGAGGTGTTTACACCCCTTCGAGGAGTCGCCGTCACTGAGGCGCCCCGTTCTGAATCATGGTGACGACGAGGGTTCGTTCCTTCGAGCAAACTACTCGCGAGAATCGATAATAGCGAAATCAACTTTACCGAAAGTCCTTGACCCAGGTCGCGAGGGTTCAATTGCATCGATGTCTCGTTAAAGAAAACTTGCTCGTTAATACGTTCACTGCCGCGTCATCCGCTTATTCGACTACTTACCGACGATCTTCGTAGGTATTTGGAAAGATATATCGTACAGGTATAATAGAAATATATAATATAGAATTGTTATAAAAGTGATACAAAAAATATAAAAGTGTTAAAAAAATTATTTATTATATAATTATTATTATTTATTATATTATTTAATTATAGAACGTAAAACTAATATGATATTTGATATCAAGGAAGAACATATAATCTATAAATGGTAAAACTATAGAATTGTTATAAAAGTAATACAAAAATGGTAAAACTAATACGATATTCGACCTCGAGAAAGAACATAACCTATAAATGATATTATTGCTGTTTGATATTAATGAAATTAGAATTCAAATATTGCAATTATAATTAATAATTAATTAATAATTAATATTCGAATATTGTATATATTCGATCTCGAGGAAGAACATAACCTATAAATGGTATTGCTTGATATTAATTAAAATTAGAATTCTTCAAACTCTATTTAATAATTAATTTCACCGTAACGAACAATTTCCATCTTTTAGGGGAAAGACAGATATCTCCTTCTCATCGATCATATCGAGAATAATTATTGGATTGTTCGAAAAGTATTTTCATTTTTTCGAGATTCGAAACGGTGAAATTCGACAAATTCAATCTCGTAGCAATTTCTTGAATCGTTGTTCGCTGGTTTGCTTCGATCACTGTCTTTATTTTGTCTCCAATGTTTCGCATTTTTAACGTTGAAATTGTCGAAAAGAAATTTTGAAAACCACTTTTTCGACACTGGCGTACTACCTTAATACGCCTTCTCCATATTTAATAGTTTATGTACATAAATAGAATTCAAGATTACGAATATATCGTGGAATATTTTATATTTATCCTTCAAGAAAAATTAACATTCTATACAAAGCTGAAATTGGTGAGGACAATTTGGACAAAAAGTTAACTAATAACTCTTCCATTTTTCTTTTCGATATTGGAACGAATTAGGGCAGAAATTTTAACAATTATATCAGTCGACAAACATTTAAATTATTCGTGTAGAGTGACGAGTTGAAGAACGTAACGATGGAAATAAATGACGCGAGAGATTATTCTCCCATTATTGAAATATCGATGGAAAAAGCTAGGCCTGAAGGAAATTTCGTTGGAAACACAGGCGACAGTCAACGCGTTAAAATGATTGAAAAATTTCCAATAAATAAACGTGTATTCCGATGATTGAGTTGTAGTTGGCTTCGAGGCTAATTGGAGAAGAAAAAGAAAAAAAAAAAAAAAAATTTGTTTTTTTTAAACAG